GAGTGGACACACCGCCATAGTAACAGTATTGGGCAGCGCCACTCATCCTGTGAGTGGACACACCGCCATAGTGACAGTATTGGGCAGCGCCACTCATCCTGTGAGTGGACACACCGCCATAGTGACAGTATCGGGCAGCACCACTCATCCTGTGAGTGGACACACCGCCATAGTGACAGTATTGGGTAGCGTCACTCATCCTGTGAGTGGACACACCGCCAAAGTGACAGTATTGGACAGCACCACTCATCCTGTGAGTGGACACACCGCCAGAGTAACAGTATTGGGCAGCGCCACTCATCCTGTGAGTGGACACACCGCCATAGTGACAGTATTGGGCAGCGCCACTCATCCTGTGAGTGGACACACCGCCATAGTGACAGTATTGGGCAGCGCCACTCATCCTGTGAGTGGACACACCGCCATAGTGACAGTATTGGGCAGCGCCACTCATCCTGTGAGTGGACACACCGCCATAGTGACAGTATTGGGCAGCGTCACTCATCCTGTGAGTGGACACACCGCCATAGTGACAGTATTGGGCAGCGTCACTCATCGTGTGAGTGGACACACCGCCATAGTGACAGTATTGGGCAGCGCCACTCATCCTGTGAGTGGACACACCGCAATAGTGACAGTATTGGGCAGCGTCACTCATCTTGTGAGTAGACACACCGCCATAGTGACAGTATTGTGCAGCGCCACTCATCCTGTGAGTGGACACACCGCCATAGTGACAGTATTGGGCAGCGCCACTCATCCTGCAAGTGGACACACCGCCATAGTGACAGTATTGGGCAGCGTCACCCATCTTGTGAGTGGACACACCGCCATAGTGACAGTATTGGGCAGCGCCACTCATCCTGTGAGTGGACACACCGCCATAGTGACAGTATTGGGCAGCGTCACTCATTTTGTGATTGGACACACCGCCATAGTGACAGTATTGGGCAGCGCCATTCATCCTGTGAGTGGACACACCGCCATAGTGACAGTATTGGGCAGCGTCACTCATCTTGTGAGTGGACACACCGCCATAGTGACAGTATTGGGCAGCGCCACTCATCCTGTGAGTGGACACACCGCCATAGTGACAGTATTGGGCAGCGCCACTCATCCTATGAGTGGACACACCGCCATAGTGACAGTATAGGGCAGCGCCAATCATCCTGTGAGTGGACACACCGCCATAGTGACAGTATTGGGCAGCGCCACTCATCCTGTGAGTGGACACACCGCCATAGTGACAGTATTGGGCAGCGTCACTCATCCTGTGAGTGGACACACCGCCATAGTGACAGTATTGGGCAGCGTCACTCATCCTGTGAGTGGACACACCGCCAGAGTGACAGTATTGGGCAGCGCCACTCGTCCTGTGAGTGGACACACCGCCATAGTGACAGTATTGGACAGCGCCACTCATCCTGTGAGTGGACACACCGCCATAGTGACAGTATTGGGCAGCGCCACTCATCCTGTGAGTGGACACACCGCCATAGTGACAGTATTGGGCAGCGCCACTCATCCTGGGAGTGGACACACCACCATATTGGGCAGCGCCACTCATCCTGTGAGTGGACACACCGCCATAGTGACAGTATTGGGCAGCGCCACTCATCCTGTGAGTGGACACACCGCCATAGCAGCATGTAAAACACTCCCCAATAGGAAGAAAACCCGCTGGGTTGTTCATCCTGTCACTTTCAAATTGTTTGTACACAAATATCAAAACTAAAGGCAGACAATTGTTAAAAGAATGTACAGAAATCATCCCCTTGACAAGAGAATTCAATAGCTAATTTTAGTCACTATTTCAGGAATGTAGAGAGTTTGGGAGTGCAGGTTATCTTGAGATGATTTCGGGGCTTTAGTGTCCCCGCGGCCCGGTCCTCGACCAGGCCTCCACCCCCAGGAAGCAGCCCGTGACAGCTGACTAACACCCAGGTACCTATTTTACTGCTATTTTTTTATTATTATTTTCTACCACAGACGTGTCCACACACTGCTAGGTTACAGGGGCATAGGGTGCAAGAAACTTTGCCCATTGTTTCTCGCCGGCGCCTGGGATCGAACCCAGGACCACAGGATCACAAGTCCAGCGGCCTGTCCGCTCGGCCGACCAGCTCCCTGCAGTCGCAATTAATACGAAGAAATGGGCATCACTGACATCCAACTACTGAACAATTAGCACAACGTAGATTGGAGAAAAGCCTATTTGATGCGATAATTGTAGATTTAATTGGTTACTTCTTTAATAACATTAAACAATGACTCGATATAGTTTACAAAATGATAATTCTAATCGAATTTCATCTCGTTATTGTCAAACATATTTGGAGTAGTGGTTACCGAGATATAACGTAAATTATCAAGAGTAATCACTAAGCCTTAACGACTATATAACCCTTGGATTTAGAAGATTTAGAAGATTTAGAAGAGGAATGATGCCCAACCACTTGGACGGTTAGGGATTCGAACGCCGACCTGCATGAAGCGAGACCCTCGCTCTACCAACCCAAGCAGTTGGGCTAGCATTTTAAGTAAAGTTTTTAATAATGTTCATCACGAAAGGGGTGAACACGAGTGAACAGTAACATCATTAAACAGGAACACCGGGCATTACCTGCGACAATATGCATCATTCACTCAAATAGAACAGTCGTTTGAGGACCAGGTGGATGTACTCGGGTCGCTGTACTCTTAACCTTATGTTCATCTGGAAAAGCGGGAGACATATGGTGGAACCGGAAGTTCACTACCCCAAGAACACGACTCACCAGAACATCGTAACAAGTCAGGAATAGTCCGAAGAACCCCCCCCCCCCCTCCCTCCTTCAGGTGAACACCACTGGGCTTAGTCTATATTGTTCTCCATCTCCCTATAGTACCCTCCTAATTACCATCAAAATATTTTTCCTTTTTAATACTACTCATAGCCCAGTCGAAAGAGCTTCGCCCTTACACACGTGGTGTCAACGGTTCAAGTCCCACTGGGGCACTGGGGCTCTCCTACCCTAATGAGGGGCACTGGGGCTCTCCTACCCTAATGAGGGGGACTGGGGCTCTCCTACCCTAATGAGGGGCACTGGGGCTCTCCTACCCTAATGAGGGGCACTGGGGCTCTCCTACCCTAATGAGGGGCACTGGGGCTCTCCTACCCTAATGAGGGGGACTGGGGCTCTCCTACCCTAATGAAGGGCACTGGGGCTCTCCTACCCTAATGAAGGGCACTGGGGCTCTCCTACCCTAATGAAGGGCACTGGGGCTCTCCTACCCTAATGAGGGGGACTGGGGCTCTCCTACCCTAATGAGGGGCACTGGGGCTCTCCTACCCTAATGAGGGGGACTGGGGCTCTCCTACCCTAATGAGGGGCACTGAAGCCCATACCCAGATGATGGGCACTGAGGTCCCTGCCCAGATGACGTGCCCCGTCCGTCCGTTAATTTAACTCAGATAGTTATGCACAAGTTATTTACATTATAAAGATAATGTGGAAAGGGAATAGAACCCCCAGACCTTGCCAGCGGGAGGTCGAGTAATTATCCACTCTGATAAGAGATCTGTCATGAACTGTATGGCAGCGTGGGGGGCCCTAGAATGATAGGGCCTCTAGGATGATGGGACCCTTAGGATGATGGGACCCTTAGGATGATGGGGCCCCTAGAATGATGGGGCCCCTAGAATGGTGGGGGCCCCCTAGAATGGTGGGGGCCCCTAGAATGGTGGGGGCCCCCTAGAATGGTGGGGGCCCCTAGAATGGTGGGGGGCCCCTAGAATGGTGGGGGGCCCCTAGAATAGTGGGGCCCCCTAGAATAATGGGGGGCCCCTAGAATGATGGGGCCCTCTAGAATGATGGGGCCCCTAGAATGATGGGCCCCCTAGAATGGGGGGCCCTAGAATGATGGGGGCCCCTAGAATGGTGGGGCCCCTAGAATGATGGGGCCCCCTAGAATGATGGGGGCCCCTAGAATGGTGGGGTCCCTAGAATGATGGGGGCCCCTAGAATGGTGGGCCCCCTAGAATGATGGGGGCCCCCTAGAATGATGGGTCCCCTAGAATGATGGGTCCCCTAGAATAGTGGGGGCCCCTAGAATGATGGGTCCCCTAGAATAGTGGGGGCCCCTAGACTGATGGGGGCCCCTAGAATGATGAGGCCCCTAGAATGATGGGGCCCCCTAGAATGACGGGGCCCCCTAGAATGATGCGCCCCCTAGAATGATGGGGGCCCCCTAGAATGATGGGCCCCCTAGAATGATGGGGCCCCCTAGAATGATGGGGGGCCCCCCTAGAATGATGGGCCCCCCTAGAATGATGGGCCGCCTAGAATGATGGGGGCCCCTAGAATGATTGGGGCCCCCTAGAATGATGGGGGCCCCCTAGAATGATGGGGGCCCCTAGAATGATGGGGGCCCCTAGAATGATGGCCCCCCTAGAATGATGGCCCCCCTAGAATGATGGGGGCCCCTAGAATGATTGGGGCCCCCTAGAATGATGGGGGCCCCCTAGAATGATGGGGGCCCATGCTTTAAGGCCGTGTCGTCACCGCCTGCCCATTACAGCGTCACCAAACAATGCATGATATACACATTCATTATTCGGTGATCAAATATGTGCAAGCATGAATAATTGCACGATTATCTGTATTGCATTGAATAAAAACATGTGCCCAAAACTAGTACATCATTTTGTTGACGTTTATGATGTTTATTTTTTAGGTTTTACCCCAATACGTGCGAGGTTTTACCTACATGTGTAAGTTTTTTACCCATATTTGCAAGACTTTTACCCATATTTGCAAGATTTTTAACCCATATTTGCAAGATTTTTAACCCATATTTGCAAGATTTTTAACCCATATTTGCAAGATTTTTAACCCATATTTGCAAGATTTTTAACCCATATTTGCAAGATTTTTAACCCATATTTGCAAGATTTTTACCCATATTTGCAAGATTTTTACCCATATTTGCAAGATTTTTAACCCATATTTGCAAGATTTTTAACCCATATTTGCAAGATTTTTACCCATATTTGCAAGATTTTTACCCATATTTGCAAGATTTTTACCCATATTTGCAAGATTTTTACCCATATTTGCAAGATTTTTACCCATATTTGCAAGATTTTTACCCTATATGCAAGATTCGTTACCCATATTTGCAAGGTTATAACCCAAACTTGCAATATTTTCCCCCCATATGTGCATTTTTTATATCAACACTTGCAAGAGTCTCCAGTCCTCCCTTCTCTCTCGTACCTTATTCCTATCTTCGCCCCTTTTCACCTATTTACCTCATCTGCCCTCTCTCAACCCCTTATTCTTCCCCTTTCCTCCCTGTGTCTCCTCTCTCCTCCTCCAACCCCCCCCCTCCATAGGCCTACGGCGAATGAATCAGCGCTGAGGCATAAAATACAGGTGAATAGGCCCAGGTGCCGGGCGGCAGGTCTTCCCCCTCCCATCGCTTCCCGTTTTTTTTAACACGCTCCAGCCCGCAGATTCCCATTTTCTTCTTCAGCCGCTTTTGCTCAGTGATTCTCGTTTTTTATCACCCGGTTCGTGAGAGTTTAGTGCTGTGATGGGTGAGTACTACCACTACTACCACCACCACCACTACCACCACTCCAGGTCCACTACAAGTAATTTTGTTATGACGAGAGAGTGAAGTAAGGATTCCTGGACCCCAAGAGGCTGATAAACGCCTGGAAACCCAAGAGAAACAGATGGCTGGAAATCATGTCTAATATAATATCGAAATGACCTCTGCCGAGTGTACGCAATTCTCAAGAAAATTTAAAAAAGGGGGGAAAAAATGGAAATAAATTCCTTATCTGAGTATTTTAAATGACGAAGGGAAATATTGATATTGAATGTGTATCAGAGATAGTTAAGACGCCGAGGGCAAGTGGTTGATACCTGGTTGATACCTGGTTGATACCTGGTTGATACCTGGTTGATACCTGGTCGATACCTGGTCGATACCTGGTTGATACCTGGTTGATACCTGGTTGATACCTGGTTGATACCTGGTTGATACCTGGTTGATACCTGGTTGATACCTGGTTGATACCTGGTTGATACCTGGTTGCAGAGGCTGTACCTGCAACTTAGCTCATGTTTCAAGGGATCTCAAGACACCCATTATGCAATGATAGCTGCAAGATTTGTGTTTGTTTGTTTGTTAGGGTGGGAGGATGTATTTGTTATTTGTGGCTACAGGATCGAGCTGTTAGCTCCTGGGCCCCACCTTTCAAGCCGAAGATTGTTTAATCTATTGACTCTTGATCTATTTTTTTCCGCTTATCATATCTACTTATTTCTAACACACACACACACACACACACACACACACACATTCTCAGGATGCAGTCCGTAGCAGTTGTCTAACTACCAGGTATCTATTTCCCGGTAGGTGAACAGGTAAATCAGGTGAAAGAAAATTACCATTTTTTTTTGTTCGGCTTCGTCCGGGAATCGCACCCGATCCCTTAGGACTACGAAAGCCCGTGCTGTCCACTCTGCCGTGTGTGTGTGTGTGTGTGTGTGTGTGTGTGTGTGGTGTGTGTGTGTGTGTGTGTGTGTGTGTATGTGTGTGTGTGTATACTCACCTATTTGTACTCACCTATTTGTGCTTGCAGGATCGAGCATTGACTCTTGGATCCCGCCTTTCCAGTCATCGGTTCTTTACAGCAATGACTCCTGTCCGCACAACTCACACACACACACAATGTGTGTGTGTGTGTGTGTGTGTGTGATGCCCGCACCACCGTAGCAGGGGCGGCGGGTGTGGGGAACAGGTCTATATACCACCTGCCACTGCGACAGGTGGTGGGGCAGGTGGTGGTGCAGATGGTAGGGGTACTCTGTCTCCCCCCCCCCTACCCCCCCCCCACACCCCCGTCGCAACTGCAGGATCGTTATCATCACTATCGCGAGCAGTGACAAGCCGCTGTCATTGACCTTACCTTAGTGTACACCAGACACCGTCACTTCCCGCAGCGGAGACCCCCCCCCTCCCCGGCCTGACCACGTGATCACCCAGACTGTTGTTTGGTTGTCGTCAACCAGCCTATTTCCAAACCAGTATTTACCCAGGTCTATCCTTGAACCTCCAATTTGTATCCAGTGTTTCGTGTTTTATTTTGTGTTGCATTATTAATTATTAATGTCTCGTTATTAATGTATTCTAATGTCTCGTTATATTAATATATTATCGTCTCGTTATTAATATATTCTATTCGTTAAAATCTTTCGTCCCTCTGCATATTTCAGTCGTTTAATCTCTAATTATTTTCAAGAATATGTAAAATAAAGCTTCTTAATCTTTCGTCGTAAGAAGTTTCTAAATCCTGGGATTAACTTTGTCCGCTTACAAGTTAATCAAAATCCTTTCGACAGAACGTAGATCACAGCTGAACTGCACATCACAATTCACCCCCCCCCCAACAAAATCTACCCCTTCCGGGTTATTCATGCCCGTGCCACCTCTTGGCTGGCTCAGTCTTCATCATTCAGGGGTCATACACCCACCCAGTCAAGGGTTCGTATCCATCTCTCTAATCCACCTCTATCTATCCATCTGTAATATATAGGATTATTTCTGTAATACAAACTGCCTTGGAGTTAATAATTAGTCACAGGTATATTATTATATATGTTATATTGGTGGATATTATATATATCTACCAATATAACAAATCCATTAATAAGGATTAAATCCTTATTCATGGATTTGTTGTCTGTAAGTACAATTTTTGGGTGATATTAACATTCAGTGAAATAATATTGTTAGTCATTTAGAAAAATATTAATATCGATAATAAATATATTTTTTTTTCATATTATTATACGCTATGTTTTTATTATTATTATTATCATTACTTAGGATAAAAAAAATTCTTTCGTCCCTCCCACTGCCATTCCTTCTCTCCTTTCCTCGTCCTTGTCTTTCACACTCCCCCGAGTGCTTTCTCAAGGTCTCAGTGTGTGATTGGGACAAGACTTACATCTCCACGTCTAATCAATGATTAGACGTGGAGCTCTAAGTCTCGTCCTAATCACAAAGACTTGGGGTGTAAATTCCTAACATATATTTCACAAATACACAAATGTGGGATTTTATGCTATTATGTCTGTAAGAAAACATTGCCATTACTAATTAGTATTATTATTATTTTTTATTATACAAATGGCCGCGAGAGGTTGAGTGAACAATATTTTATTCATTTAAATATTACGTGTAATTGTGGTACAATTAAAGTAATTAAATTTAATAAAGGAATTACCTGGTCAACTTATATGGTTCTGATAATTTCGAGAAATTATCCGACAACTTTATTATATACAAATTTAAGAAGCAATTTATATATATATTTGATACATTAATAAAGACAATAAAAATATATTTGAATTAAATAATTATACAGTCGCGTATAGATTTATAGTCACGCACACATATTACACACACATGACTTCATGTAGACATGTATGCATATACAAGTATACACAGTCCAGGTGAATGAAATACATAAAGTCGGGTTCGTTCCCGACTCACAATCAAGAATTCCGGGTTCGAATCCCGGGCAGGACAGAAATATATATATATATATATGCGAACAAGCCTGAATGGTCCCCAGGACTATATGCGAATGAAAACTCACACCCCAGAAGTGACTCGAACCCATACTCCCAGAAGCAACGCAACTGGTAACTACAGGGCGCCTTAATCCGCTTGACCATCACGGCCGTCAAAAGGAAGTGATAGCCGAGGCTATTTGAGCCACTTCCCCGACGGCAACTCGGATGGTAATCTTGGGCATAGCATTTCACCAAATCACCTCATTCTTTGGGGCACACGTGAGGATGCGAACAAGCCTGAATGGTCCCCAGGGCTATATGCGAATGAAAACTCACACCCCAGAAGTGACTCGAACCCATACTCCCAGAAGCAACGCAACTGGTAACTACAGGGCGCCTTAATCCGCTTGACCATCACGGCCGTCAAAAGGAAGTGATAGCCGAGGCTATTTGAGCCACTTCCCCGACGGCAACTCGGATGGTAATCTTGGGCATAGCATTTCACCAAATCACCTCATTCTTTGGGGCACACGTGAGGAACACAAATGCGAACAAGCCTGAATGGTCCCCAGGACTATATGCGAATGAAAACTCACACCCCAGAAGTGACTCGAACCCATACTCCCAGAAGCAACGCAACTGGTAACTACAGGGCGCCTTAATCCGCTTGACCATCACGGCCGTCAAAAGGAAGTGATAGCCGAGGCTATTTGAGCCACTTCCCCGACGGCAACTCGGATGGTAATCTTGGGCATAGCATTTCACCAAATCACCTCATTCTTTGGGGCACACGTGAGGAACACAAATGCGAACAAGCCTGAATGGTCCCCAGGACTATATGCGAATGAAAACTCACACCCCAGAAGTGACTCGAACCCATACTCCCAGAAGCAACGCAACTGGTAACTACAGGGCGCCTTAATCCGCTTGACCATCACGGCCGTCAAAAGGAAGTGATAGCCGAGGCTATTTGAGCCACTTCCCTGACGGCAACTCGGATGGTAATCTTGGGCATAGCATTTCACCAAATCACCTCATTCTTTGGGGCACACGTGAGGAACACAAATGCGAACAAGCCTGAATGGTCCCCAGGACTATATGCGAATGAAAACTCACACCCCAGAAGTGACTCGAACCCATACTCCCAGAAGCAACGCAACTGGTAACTACAGGGCGCCTTAATCCGCTTGACCATCACGGCCGTCAAAAGGAAGTGATAGCCGAGGCTACTTGAGCCACTTCCCCGACGGCAACTCGGATGGTAATCTTGGGCATAGCATTTCACCAAATCACCTCATTCTTTGGGGCACACGTGAGGAACACAAATGCGAACAAGCCTGAATGGTCCCCAGGACTATATGCGAATGAAAACTCACACCCCAGAAGTGACTCGAACCCATACTCCCAGAAGCAACGCAACTGGTAACTACAGGGCGCCTTAATCCGCTTGACCATCACGGCCGATGGGGACCATTCAGGCTTGTTCGCATTTGTGTTCCTCACGTGTGCCCCAAAGAATGAGGTGATTTGGTGAAATGCTATGCCCAAGATTACCA